AGAAAGCGGCGCCGGCGCCGGGAGAAGCCGGAGGTGGAGAAAAGGGCCTTCCTAGCGGTGCGGCGCCAGCGTGACGTAGAGGCTGCCCGCCGCGCGCCGGGTAAGGTGGTTGAGCGCGGGGAACTCTGGGCTGGCAAAGTTATCGTCCCGGGGCGCTGGGGATGAGGGGCGCGTTCACGTGACGCAGCAATGACAACGCGCGACTTTAAAGGCGGACGCTGGGGACACCCATATCTTCTCGCTCCACCCTCTACCGCTATAAGGGCCTCTCCTTTAAGATAGGTTGGACCCTTTGGCGCAGGAACTATAGCCGAGTGGGAGTGGCTGAATCAGTACTCGCCTGCCCGCGCAGACCTGAGCTTTTTTTTTTTTTTTTTCTTTCAGGTTTATTCATTTTGAAAAGGAGTCGGAAAAGAGAGATTTTTGGATGAGTGGATGCTTTCCTTTGCTCTAAGTGTTGAGGTTAATTGTCTCGTATTGATATTGGGTAGTAGAGGTTTAAGTATACCCTAGATAAATGCCAGAGAAGCCTAAAGTTTTGGAGCTGTGACTACCTCCTGGCATTAAGCAATAAATAAATGGTAAAAATTTGCTTGCGTTAAAGTGTTGATGTACATTAATTCTCCATTAGAATGGTATTTCAACAAATACTGAATCATAAAAACTTTTGTAGAGTACTTTATATAAACAAAGTACTCTTGCTAATGAAGGATAGAAATATTTTAAAAATTCTTTCCTATCAGATCCAAGCAGACATGAGGCATATGTGGTCATGTTGACGATAACAAAGAGCCTTATATAATTTCCTGATGATTTGTGAAATAGGTTTTACAAAACAATAATCCTCGGCCAACCATCCAAATGAAGGTTCCCTCTAGAATGGATGGCCCCACTATGTCCTAGAACCCAGTAATAGGATTGAACCATGCACTTTGTTAGGGTTATAAAAGGAGAGAGGGATGTGTATGTTTTATCTCTCTTCTTAGGTTTTAATCCACTTAAAAGACAATTTTTATTGTTATATTATCTTCTTCTCTGCATTAGTGTATGCTATTTAGACCTCCATTAAGCCCAGTTTTCCTAAACCATACTATTTGCATCATTCCTGTTTAACTTGTGTGAGACAAAGTAGCCAACAAGAGAAGCCATGTTTACTCATTATTTTTGCCAGCTGAATTTCACAAAGCCCCTGACTCAGTGACTGAGTGCAGCCCTCTGGCAGAATGTTCTGAAGATGGTAAGCAGGATAGAGCACAGGTCTCCACATCTCTTGTCTGAATGATCGCATTTTTAGAAAAGATAAGTTCAATGATCCTAGCTCTTGCCTCTTCCTGGATAACATCCTACAGGATTAATGATTATGCCTCTGTAATCTATAACTAGATATACTTTTGCACTCACATTTTGATGATATTTTGCTCTAATGTGACTTCCAAGCACATGCACAAATGCCACCACTGGTATATAAACTGGGCTGAAACACTACCTTGGAGCAGTTTAATGGGAACTCTGTGAAAGACTCTCCCAAGTTGCAGTCTTCAGTAAGACTTCTAAATGAAACTAACTTTAATTCCTTAAAAGCCTGTTTTTTTTTCTTTAGTTGACACTTGCAATATTAACATGAAACAGAAGCTTGTTTTCATTAAATATATTTGATTTTCCTAATTTTTTTGAAAGGTGTCTAGTTATATTTGTATCACTTTCTCACTCTTTTGGTTGAAATATTTGTATCTGAAAATGGGAAGAGGAAAAGCCAGAGGAGGGTGCTGGCGAACTTAGAAGGTTTATGATGTATGATTAGCAAAGAATGAGATTTATTTTAACACATTAACTGACATGTGAATTGTATTTAACTCAACACTAGTTTTGAGCCCAGGGCCTCGTGAAACACATGTAACTCACATGTCTCCTCACTTTGGGAGCCGAGAGAACTTATTTTTCAAGTTGCGTGTAACTCATGCACAGAAAACAATAAAAAGTAACAAATTTTTTATTAAATTAGAAAGGATCATTTTGTTTTTGAAGTTTTTATTCTGTTTTCATAATAAAACATCATTGCCCCAAGGGGAAAAAATTGTTTTAGTGTGGCAGTCAACATGTTAAAAATCTGAAAATAGTAATAAACTAATCTTATAGTGTAGTCGAGAGCTAGAAAAACTGCAAATTTGTGGAGAAATAAATGATTGTTGTTTTGGAGGTTCCAGGATGTGGTGGAGCACAACACAAAAAGTGAGGCAAGCTGGGTATGGTGGTGCATGCCTGTAGTCCCCAACTACTTGGGAGGCTGAGGCTGGCGAATCACTTGAGCCTAAGAGTTTGAGGCTGCAGTGTGCTATGATCTCACATCTTACCAGTGAATAGCCATTGTACTCCAGCCTGGGCAAAATGCGGAGACCCTGTCTTAAAAAAAAAAAAATTAATGCAAGCAGAAACCTTATTCATATACATCCTGATAGAAGAAAAAAAAAATGGAACCCTAATCTAATCAAGTTCCTAGATCCAACTACCAATTTATAGGCTCACAGGAAGTATATGGATAAAAGAATATATTTTTAAAATGATTCCATGAGAATACAATCAATAAAATACAGAATGTGGGAAACTCTTTAGAACAAATGACCTATAAATAAATTGTAAGAAAATTAAAACAACAATAACAATGAAGATGGAAGAGGAACCTACAGAATAAAACAGACTTAAGAGACTTTAACTAGGAGAGTGACATCAGCATAATGGTGGACTAGGAGCTTGTGTCACTCTGTAGGTAGAATAGTTTTGCAGCCATCTACAGACAAAAGCACCTTTGTGGGAGATTTGGGATCCAGAGAGGAGGTTGTGAAACCTGGTGAGGCCTGAGATCCTGGAAGGCTGTTTTGAGAGGGCAGAACCACACCCAGGTGGCAGACTCACCAACTGAGGCCCCAGCTCCAGACCCAGAAATGGCCTCATTACCCCTGTGGACTCAGCTAAAGCTCTGGTTTAGGAAATTATTTTCATATGGGTAACAAGCATTAATATTTCTAATGTATAAAGAGCTGTTAGAAATCACTGAGGTGACAGAAACTGTTATAGAAAGTGGGCAGGGAAATGGGAAGAAATACAAACAGCCGGCCTGGTGCAGTGGCTCATGCCTATAATCCTAACACTCTGGGAGGCTGAGGTGAGAGGATTGCTTGAGGTCAGGAGTTTGAGACCAGCCTGAGCAAGAGTGAGTCCCTGTCTCTACTAAACATAGAAAAATTAGCTGGATGTGGTGGCGCATACCTGTAGTCCCAGCTATTTGAGAGGTTGAGGCAGGAGGATTGCTCAAGCCAGGAGTTTGACGTTGCTGTGAGCTAGGCTGATGCCATAGCATTCTAGCCTGGGTGGCAGAACAAAACTCTGTCTCAACAACAACAACAACAACAACAAAAAAAAGAGAAAAAATTAGCCAATCATGATGGCAAGGCCTGTAGTCCCTGCTATTTGGGAAGCTGAGGCAGGAGGATCCCTTGAGGTCAGAAGTTCAAGGATACAGTAAGCTATGATGGCATCACTGTACTCTAATTTGGTGAACAGAGCAGAGACTATGCAACCTCAAACTCCTGGGCTCAAGCCATCCTCCTGCCTCGGCATCGTGAATAACTGGGACTACGGGTGTTAGCCATCATGCCCTGCTAATTTTTCTATTTTTTGTAGAGACGGGGTCTTGCTCTCAGGCTGGTCTAACTCCTGGCCTAAGTGATCCTCCCACTTTGATCTCCCAAAGTGCTAGGATTACAGGTGTGAGCCACCACAACTGGCCAACTTCCAGAACATTTTTATGACCCCAAAAGAAACCCTGTACCCACTAACAATCACTTCCCATTCCCCACTTCTCCAGCCTCTGGCAATTATTAATTAACTTTCAGTCCATGGATTTGCCTATCCTGGACATTTCATATAAATGGGTTTGTCCAATATTTGGCTTTTTGCATTTGGCTTCTTTCACTTGGCATGTTTTAAAGGTTCATCCATGTTGTAGCATGTATCAGTACTTGCTTTTTAGAGGTGAATAATATATTGATTTCTTGAAATTATATGAGTAGGAAGTTTTATTATCTATGCATTTCATCTCAGGATAGTAAAGAAGGTGTTAAGAAAATATTTGTTATAGAAAGGAACATTGGATCAGAGCCCCTGATCTGGCTAGAAAGACAAGTGTATACATTAATAAAAAGGCAAAGAAGGCCGGGCGCAGTGGCTCACGCCTGTAATCCTAGCACTCTGGGAGGCCGAGGCAGGCGGATTGCTTGAGGTCAGGAGTTTGAAACCAGCCTGAGCAAGAGCGAGACCCTGTCTCTACTATAAATAGAAAGAAATTAATTGGCCAACTAATACATATAGAAAAAACATTAGCCGGGCATAGTGGTGCATGCCTGTAGTCCCAGCTACTTGGGAGGCTGAGGCAGTAGGATTGCTTGAGCCCAGGAGTTTGAGGTTGCTGTGAGCTAGGCTGATGCCACGGCACTCACTAGCCTGGGCAACAAAGTGAGACTCTGTCTCAAAAAAAAAAAAAAAAGAAAAGAAAAAGGCAATTAACAACTCAAGCAAACACATCATGTTATCAGGAGATAGTTAAATTTTCTTGGATAAAGGGTGACAGGTAAGGATTATGCAGAGATTAGATCTGAGTGATAGATCCTATTCAGTTAGTGAGTTGTCAGTGCCTGGAAAGAGATACAGCCATCCAAAAGTTAAACTGCCAAACTTACAGGATGCTACCCCATCTCAAGTGATCTTTGAAATGATCTTTCTCTTGAGTAGGCTCTGGAGTAATGAGGGAAATCAGCGGAAGCAAAATGATCCTATTAGAACCAAAGGGATATTTTCGCGGTGGCATCCTAAGGGGATGGGTTTTGCAAAGCAAACCTGGGAGCTGCCAACTCCGACCTTTGGGGGAACCTCTCCCTTGCGTTCCCAGGTGTGCCTTTGCCCAGACTACTTAGGCCCATCTCGGCCTCCGTGGCCGGGCAGCGCTCAGCTGTTGAGGGGCGGGGCCTTTGCAGACAATGGCGGGTGAGCTTGAGAGCTGCAAACCTCTGGGCGGGCTGCTGAGCGGCCTGGCCCAGGAGGCTTTCCACGGGCACCCGGGCATCACGGAGGAGCTGCTGCGGAGCCAACTCTATCCAGAGGTGCCACCCGAGGAGTTCCGCCCTTTTCTGGCAAAGATGAGAGGGATTCTTAAGGTACTTTTCTTCCCTGTAGTCTCCACCGCGGAGCCCAGCCCCTTCCCCGCTACCTTGGGACTCGTCCTCCGCCCTCCCCTCTCCCCCAAAGCTGAAAGGGCGTTCCTCTTCAGACCTCTACTGTGTGGGCTCTACACTGCAGTCCTTCAGATCCAGGGAGCTTGCTCCGTCGCCGCTTGTCACTTTCTTAAGGGTGACCTTTTTTTTTTTTTTTTTTTTGCTTAAGCTCCCAGTTCCGGGGTAGGGCTGACTGATACCAACGGTTGAGGACTCTGGGTTTTTTTTCAAGACATCTCTTCTCTATTGGTAACAATCAGGCTTCCTCGGCAGATCTGTGGGTTCCAGAGTTTTTAAAATTAAAAGCGATAAGTCACCATTTTTTCTGGGAAGTTGGGAGCGTTAAAGTTAGCCAGTGATGCCTTTGTTTGACTTAGGGGGTCAGGATGACGTCTAGTTCCAATCTTCCTTTACCTTATAAGCAACACTGAGGGTTAAACATCTCTCTAATTCTTATGGAAACAGAGCAATTGAACATGAGTTTTAAACAAAAATGCTTTGAGCAGAGAGACAATGTCCATCTGCAATAAGAGGGAATGTACACAAACGATGCAAAGATGCTATAATATTTGTAAATATAATTGTGAATAAGCAACTGTAGACAAAAAAGAGGTATTAGTTCTTCCTGGCAGGCTTCTTAGAGATGCTATTTTTGCTGCTTTTGAAGAAAGTGTAGAATATTTTAGACTGTGAGGAGAGAGAGCCATATAGGGCTCCGGTCCCCAACTCCCCCATTCGCAGAGTTCCGCACCGCCCCCCACACATGGAAAAATTGTTTTCCATGAAAGGGCGGAGGGCGTGCACAGCAGGAGGTAAGGGGCAGGCCAGGAAGCTTTTAATCTGTATGAAGCTTCATCTGTTTTACAGCGGCTCTCCTTCACGAGTCACTGCCTGAGCTCCTCTTCCCACCCCCCACCTCCTTCCCTCCGTCTGTGGAAAATTTGTCTTAAATGAAATCAGTCCTTGGTGCCAAAAAGTATGGGGACCGCTGAAGGGGCATTCTAGGTTAGGAAAATAGCAGGGGTGGGGTAGAAAAATGTAGAGCAGGTTCTGAAACTAAAAATATACAGAAAAAAATTCAGGACATGGTGAATAGTTCAATTTGATAATAATATAGGGCTACGCAATATGAAGTATTACAGCCTTTTTTCCTGTTATTTCTGCTAACCTTTACTCTTCTTCTTAAGCAGGATATACATTTTTACATATAGATGACAGCAAAGTTCATGCCTTTCAGTCGTCTATAGAAAATCGTGATGTGTGAAGAAAGTGAAAATGAAGAGGGACAACAGGGGTAGGAGGAAAGGAAGGAAGGGATGTGTAACTCCCAGCAGGGAATACTTTGTGCACACATGTTAACAGCCTATTTATTGCCAGCTGCCTGGCAATTTGTTTCATAGACTATGATTCAGGTTCAGGTGCTCACTCAGCTGCATCCTATTCATCTAACTTTTATGTTGTGTGCCCATGTGTTATATAATGATCCCGAGTGTTTGTACTGGTCCCTATTTTCTGCTTAGAATGGAGCCGTCTTACTCTTCTTGGCTGGGACATTGACCCTCTCTAGCTTTGCCTGTTAATCACAAAAGGTCAGACCTTTCATTTGCTTGTAGATAAGTGAAGCTGGACCTTCATTTGCTCTAGTTTTTATTTTTGGATAGCCCTTAAGGAGATCAATGTATTTGGAATGATGTGTTTATTTGGGGAAATAACATCCTTTATAAATACTGTGCTTGCTAAACACTGCCATTTTTATCTAATTTTTTTTTTGCTCACATTATAATTCAACTTCTTGTAGGTATGAGTTTGTATACTCTTTATTATTTGATATTGATGTTAACCTTATGAGTATGCTCTTTAATTCTAGTTCACTAGAATTAAAAAGATCTTAAGTATTAATATCTATCACATTTTGTACAGTTATATTTTGTATTCACTACTGCCCTCTGTTGGTGATAATTTTGTATTTCCTCAATGGAATTTCATATTAAAAATTTTAATGAAACTCCTGTTGTTTTATTTTGTCTATTATTAATTCATATAATCTGTGCTCATATTAATGAAAAGTTTATCCATCTTACTTTTCCCCTATTATTTGAATTTAGAATTATATTTAGATTCTATTTTAGAAGTCTGGAAATAAATGCAACATCTTACAGATTGACCTTCCTGTTCCACTCCTGCCCCCTACAGTCTATTGTCCACACAGCTACCAGTGATCCTTTTAAAAAGTACAGAATATTAATACCTTCTTAATCCCCTGCTCTCAACTATTTCATATTCCTGACTTCACATCAAACTTAGAATAAAATTCAGTCTTTACAGCTGACAAGTCCTTACATGATCTCACCCTTACCTGTTTTTCTGATCTCATTTTCTCATTTCCAGCACACAATCTTGTCTTTATTTAAATGTGTTAAGTGCTTTCTGAACCTCTTTAGAGGGTTTTTGTAGTTGCTCTTCCGTATGCCTGTAATGTTCTTTAGATATTCTTATGGATTGTTCATTTGCTTCATTCATTCTCTACCTAAAAGTTTTTTCCTGTGAGTTCTTCTCTGGCCTGTATAAAGAGCCTTACCCTTCCTTCCCCATTCTTTTTTTCACCCTGCTTTACTTTCTCTTTATACTTAGCATTACCTGATATTATATTATGTACTTATTATCTTGTTATTTATTGACTTCCCCACTGGATGTAAGCATTAAGAAGGCAGGACTTTACTATTGTATATTTTCTTTTATTGGTCATGAATTATTATATTATTTTTTTTTCTTATTTATTCCTTATGCCTAATACTGTTTTTGGCATGTGGTGTGCATGTAATAAAAATTTTGTAGAATAGATGAATGAAGGGATACTGCTTAAAGATGAAGATTGTCATTAAAAAGATAATTATGGAGAGAAAACCTATACCACTTCTGTGTGGGGAGAGCTGGAAAATGTGATACTCTAAAATAGGGGTCAGCAAAGTATGGCTGGTGGGACTAATCTGGCTTAGTGCCTGTTTTTATAAATAAAATTTTACTGTAACATGGCCACACATTCATTCATGTATATCTTATCTGTAGCAACTTTAGCCATTATCATAGCAGAGTTGAGTGGTTGTGACAGAGACTTTGTGGCCTTCAAAGACTAAAATATTTGCCATCTGAATGTTTACAGAAAAAATTTGCTAGCTGGGCATGATGGTGTGCACTTGTAGTCCTGGCTACCTGGGAGGCTGAGGCAAGAGGAGAGGATCACTTGAGCCCAGGAGTTGGAGGCTACAGTGCGGCTACAGTGTGCTATGATTGTACCTGTGAGTAGCACTGCATTCCAGCCTGGACGACATAGGGAAACCCCATCGCTAAAATAATTTAAAAAACAAAACAAAAAGAAAAAGTTTGCTGACCCCTGGGGAAAACATTTGTTCTTAAACTCATAATATTTAATATTTGAAAACAATATTATATGTAAATTATGTTTCAAGGTTAGTTACTTGATAAATATCTAAAAACTAGAAATAGGGACTATTTACTCTTCAGTCTTATTGAGGAATTTCACTAACTTGTTCATTAGACTCATCTGTGGTAAATAAAAATGACCTTTAATGTTTCTGTAGTACTAAATATGTATTCTTAGTAAGACATAGAATTTGAATTGGAAAATTTTGTTCATATTCAAAAGATGTAAAATTTTTCATATGTTAATGTAGCATACAATAACATAAAATTTAATGTTGTGAATCTGAGAATCAAGTGGAAACTATCAACATATGAAAGTTTAAACTTTATGGGAAATAACTTGCCAGTAATATGACAATAAGAATTATAATAGTAAAAGACTAAGAAATATTTGAACACTTGCTTCAGTGTTTTCTATTGAAGCCATGAAATTTTGTAATTTGAGAATTAAATTGACTATAAAGGAAAGACCTGTGGTAATATAGTTTTTGTATATCAACTGCATTGAAGAAAATATAGGAATTTGAGTTGAGTGAAAACATGTATAATACCATCTGTTGACGCAACCAGTATTAATATTTTTGTGCATTTATTCATACCACAAATGTTTAGTAAGCATCTTAACTAAATGCTATCTATGCATTGTGCTTGGGATATAGCAGTAAACATCACAGCTTTAGTCCCTGCCCTTGTGGATCATATAGTTTCCTGGAAAATATAGACATTAAGACAATAATGAGGATGGGCACAGTGGCTGACACCTGTACTGCTAGCACTTTGGGAGGGCAAGGAGGGAGGATCCCTTGAGGCCAGAAGTTCGAGACCAGCCTGAGCAAGAAATATAGAACATACAAAAATTAGTGGTGGTGCATGCCTGTAGTTCCTGCTGTTTGGGAGGCTGAGAGGCAGGAGGATCTCTGGAGCCCAGGAGTTTGAGGTTGGGATGAACTATGGTCATCCCACTGCACTCTAGCCGGGGCAACAGAGTGAGACCCTGTCTCAAAAAAACAAAAAACACAAAAAACCAAAAGACAATAATTACTTGTAGAATAGTTCCTAGCCCACTCTACAACATGAACAAAGAAAGAGAAAAAGAAAGGTCTACTTGTTGGATTAAAGGAGAAGATAGAAACTGCACAGAACTAATTTTCCTTGCCCTATTGTCTGCCCCTGGTCCCAAGGTAGGGGTTTCTCATGAGTATGGCTGATAGGGTCATGATGATGTCTTTCTTGGATGAGTATTTGGCTGCTCTGGGACCTCATTTTAAATTTCTTTGGAACCTAATTGGATCTCAGAACATCACCTGAACAGGCCAAGCTGTTCACTGCAGCAGCTCCCTCTTCTCACTGTGGCTTGACTTACTGTACCTGTTTTCAGATCTTGAAGCATGTTCTTAAGTAGCTTCCTAAGAAAGGGCATATGGGATGTAATTCTTTTTAAGTATTAAAAAATGTCCTTAGTCTCACACTTAATTGGTAGTTTGGCTGAAAATATATTTCTA